TTTCCGTTGGCGATTAAAGAATGTGACAGGCACATCTGAGCTGTAACAGAAAAGGCCATTGTCTCCCCCTCTGCCTGTGTACCAGTACCTGGCTGGCGTCCCAAGGACTGGGGCGCACTCCTCCAGGATGCTGGACGGTTTCTTAGTACCTTTATCGGCCTGTCAAAACTATCCTTAGAAAGCTTTATGCAACTTGAAGTCTCTTCTTGCTCCTTAGGTCCCGGTGGACTTGGGAGGCTGCATAGATGCCTCTCTGCTGCCACACAGCAGGGGAGACTGTCCTGGGACCATTTGCACAAAATCAAGTTCAAGTTGCAGGAGCTGGCGGCACCCATTGGTAGGCACCGGTTGTGACTCTCCAGTATTTCCCTATAGAACCAATAGGATGATCCTGGTTTTCGGAACGAAACAGTGTTCAAAACTTGCATCCTAGAAAATCCGAGATACTGGTGAGTTTGGCTACATTTATTGTAAAATAAAAAACATTTTATGTTTGGCACTTAAGGTATGGACATTATGAAAAGGAAGCGTGGGGAAAGAAATGATGTCCTTCTGAGACTTAGAATCTAAAGACCAGAGATTTCCCGACCAGCGTTAGGAGGGGGCTATGCAAGCAGGGAGGGGAGCTGCCTCACTAGCTTTGGGCTTCCCCTGGGTTGGGGTGTAGGAGCGAGGCAGGCTGCTCTCCCCGGGAATTCCCCTCCCAGCACGAAGCATGCTTCCTTGGTCCTTCTTAGGACTACTGCAAGGGCATCTGTGAATGTTGAGGGAAGAGTGAGGAACAGGGAAGATACATTTGTCATAGAGTGACGAATGACACCTTTAGTGTCTAAAGGTCCCTGACGGAGCTCACATGTGGGGAAGTGAACCTGGGACTTCCCACACACTGAGCACACCCTCAGCACACATTTACAAACACGGCTTTTCTCATTCACATTCTCCTCTGTCCATGGAGCATGTGGATAGTACAAACTGGCACCAAAACACACATGGAGGGCTGAGGAGATGGCTCCGGAGTGCTTTGTGAGCAAGCACGAGGGCATGAGTTCAATTTCCCAACCCCCGTGTAAAGAGGGGCATGGCTGCACACGCTGCACCCCTGGTGTTGAGAGGCCTGGAGACAGGTGGCTCACGGAGCTCATTCACCAAGCGGCCCAGCAGCTACAGCTTCAGTGAGAAACCCTGTCTTCAAGGGATAAGACAGGGAGCACAAGACACCTGATGTCCCACAGGCATGCACCTGCACACACACACACACACACAGGGATGGAGAGACGGCTCAAGGGTTAAGCGCACTTGCTGCTCTTCCAGAGGCCTGGATTTTGGCTCCTAGCACCCACATCAGGTGGCTCACAAGCACCTTTAACACTAGTTCCAGGGGATCTGTCGTGCAGGACTATTCTCTGTGCCAAACAGCCCCTATCTTGAGGTATTCAGCTGTTCCAGCTTGCAAAAATTCCAGCTGGTAGTGTTGACTGTTTATATCCCCAATAGAGGGGTGGGGAGAGTCATGAGACACTCACCTGTGTATTTATCCCCCTAACACCTGTTGTATGCAACTCTGCCCTAACAACATGCACCCTTGGGGAGGGGCTGGAGGACACACAGGCCACGGAGGGAGTGGTCCTAGCGCGTTTTCCTAAAGCTTTCTGGAAATGAGAAGGTGATAAATGCAGGGATAGCTGCAGCAGTGTGGACCTCAGCATCTGTGTGGCTATGGGAAAGCCCTAATTGCTGCTGGGTGAACACTTCCTGTGTGGCCTTTTAGGGAAGTTGCACTCACACCCAGCAGGAAACCACTCATCTGTTCTCTGTAAGAAAGTCCGATAAAGGCCGGGCGGTGGTGGCGCACACCTTTAATCCCAGCACTCGGGAGGCAGAGCCAGGCGGATCTCTGTGAGTTCGAGGCCAGCCTGGTCTACTGAGTGAGATCCAGGAAATGCACAAAACTACACAGAGAAACCTTGTCTCGGAAAAACCAAAAAAAAAAAAAAAAAAAAAAAAAAAGAAAGTCCGATAAACTCACTGGGTCTCCAGAATGAACTTTGGTGGAGTTGTGCCTCAGTCTGTTGTTAGGATATTAAGAGGAGGAATAGATGTTGCTTATGCTGCCCCTAGGGAAGGAATTTTAGCAACAGGATCTAAGGCCCTTCTAGCCTCCAAGGGCACCTCAGTATGTGTGGCATACATATACTCAGACACACACACACACACACACACACACACACACACACACACACACACACACAAATGAGTTAAAAATACAAGCCAGGTATGGTGGCGCACGCCTTTAACACCAGCACTCAGGAGGCAGAGGCAGGTGGATCTCTGAGTTCGAGGCCAGCCTGGCCTACAGAGAAAGTTCTAGTACAGCTAGGGTTGTTACACAGAGAAATCCTGTCTCAAAAAACAAAACAAACAAACTAACAAAAAAGATGCAGAGAAAAACAAGAAGTACAGTGCAAAAGAGAAGCTGGGCACACAAATCCTCTGTACAAGCCTGATACAGATGGACGGACGTCCTACCTGGCCCCACCCCCTCTCCAGCATGTCCCACCCCCACTCACTCTTATGTGAGCTTACGGGGTTCCAGGGACCCACAGCACCATGGCATGCCCAGCGTGCGCACACCCCAGCACCGTATCTCACTCCCTTGCTGTCAGACACCTCCACAGAGGTAAGGGCTGCATCTCCCGGTTCAGTAGCACCTGATGTCTGCCACAGGCACAAGGACAGCTGGTGTGACTGCACACGTTTGAGGAAGATACCCACGGAGGGAGTGGTCCTAGCGCGTTTTCCTAAAGCTTTCTGGAAATGAGAAGGTGATAAATGTGGGGATAGCTGCAGCAGTGTGGACCCCAGCATAAGGCTGCGGCCAGAGAGCTGGAAGCATTAAACCATGAAGACGGTTCAGACTGGTGGGGGCTTTAACATGCCCACTGTTAAAGATTTCCAATGTTATCCTTAGGCACAGCTACAGTGGAGTAGCTTCTAACGCGTTCACTAGAAAGCCACGAATGTTTTGCTGTTAAGGCACCAAAGAAAGAATTTTCCGGATGCCCGTCTCCTCCCCGGCTGGCTGTCTAACCCTCCTCCTAATTCTGCCTCCCTCCTGACTCTCCCTCATTCCTCTTCTAGATGACTCTGGGAAGCTGTAGGAGGCAGGGGAGGTTAGGGGACCACAGGGCTAGTTTAAATTGAATTCCACACATTTAGTCGTAGCTAGTTGGGAGGCTGAGACAGGAGCACTGGAAGTTCAATGACTGCCTGGGGAACTTAATGAAACCCTGTCTCCAAACAAGACTGCAGGAAGGGAACAAGGACAGACAGGAGAATCCGTCAGCCCCCTGAGCAGGAGGCAGGTCTGTGCTGCCAGAGTCCTGTGCCCTGGCCCGATAGGGCTCTGGGAACGACCTTTGGTTTTCCTGGCCTTGTGGGACTTCAGAGTACAAAAAGACACCACCAACTCAGGCTCTTCTCTAGACCTTCATTCTAGTAATAAAAACTCAAAGCTGCACAAGGCGACCGCAGAGGAGGCCCCGAGCTACTCGGAAGAGTGATCGATGCCCACTAGAGATGGCAGGTTGAAGGCCAACTTCCACTTCTGCCCTTCCTTGCCGCCTCGTTGAAGTGCAAAGGAGGCTGCTTCGGGGTTCCTCTGGAGGCCCTGGGTGTTTTGTTATCACTTTAAACAGAAGCTGGGGAGGGGTGATAACAACAGGATCCCAGAAACTAGATAGCAAGAGGTCAAATGCTGATTGATTTGATCAAAAGTGCCCTAAGTTAGAGAGGGCCAAAATTCATCCAGCAGAACCCATATGTCCAGGCACTGGCAGGCGTGGGGCTGTGGGTGGAGCTTAGATTGGAGGTAAGTTCAGAGTCCAGTAAAGAACAGGGCTGAGGGCTGGAGGTGTGGCTGTGCACCCCACCTCTCCCAGCAATAGAAACACACACACACACACACACACACACACACACACACACACACACACACACCCATTCCTTGGAGAAGGTCAGACAGGAGGCTGCAAAGGAAGGGCCTTTTTGTTTTGTTTGGTTTGGTTTTTTGAGACAGGGTTTCTCTGTGTAGTTTTGGTGCCTCTCCTGTAAACCAGGCTGGCCTCGAACTCATAGAGATCTGCCTGCCGCTGCCTCCCAAGTGCTGGGACTAAAGGTGTGGGCTGCCGCCGCCGCCAGCAGGAAGGGCCTTTTCTGAAGGCAGTGGGGTTAAGCAAATGTCTGCATGTTGAATTGTGAGGAAGTGGACAATCACATTTCTTCAAAAATTATATTTTTCTATTTTAAGTACAACTATATCAAAACAGAATAAAATACCAATAATAACCTCTAGTTATATTAAAGGTCCTATGATCTCTAAGCAAATGCCTGGAGGTCAGATAGTCTGAGAACTCATAAAATGTTTGTTGATATAATAGAATACAGGAACAAATATTGCTTTGTATTCTGAGTGGAGGAGGGGCATGGCAATGAAAACACACTATTTCTGCAGTGAGATGTACAAATACTTAAAGACGACATGCCAAGTGAGTAAGTAAGAAATAAAATGCATGTCCTGTCTGTTTAGGTCAGACTTACTGACAAGTTAATTTTAATGTCACACTTAATTCAAAGACCGGAAGCGGATGCCGGGGTGAAGGCCAGGATGGGCAGCTAGGGTTGGATGGGGACAGCGGGGCCTCACAGACTGAAGGCAGTCCTGGAGGTGGTGGTCGTGACGGTGGGTGTGCGAAGAATAAACTAAAACACACTTGTGAATGGCGACGGTGGGGCTGTGGAGAAGGCTCGGAGGTTTAGAGCACCTTCTGCTCTTGTGGAGGGCCAGGGTTCGGTTCCCAGTATCTACACTGTGGCTCACAACTGTCTGTAACTCCAGTTCAAGGGATCTGATGCCTCTTCAGGTTCCCACAAGCTCCTTTATGCACTTACATACACTCATGCACACACACATAAAATAAGTAAATATTTTTTAAAAGAATGGCTAAGGTAATCAGTTTATTGTCTATTTCACCATTTTTAAAGATTGGATAAACAAAATGACATTTGGATTTTAGAGTCCTTTGGGATTTCAGAATTCTAGGGTTGTGGCCACAGTCCAGTGCTTGCATATAGGCTACCATCCTGATCTTGGAGTAACTCAAGAGTTTTCTGTGCCTCATTTTCCTCTGCCAAATTAGGCTGTGACAAAATTTGTGGCATCAGGCCGTGCAGTGTCCCAACTGTTATGCCCCCCCTTTTTTTTTTAATTGACACAACTTATCAAGAGCAACACCTGGGGTGATTATCCACGCCAGTGCTGGCGTCCAGTAGGCACTCGCTGCGAGGACCTCTGAGGGTCAGCACTGGGTATCCTGGCTTTCCTCATTGATGAGGATTGTCAGCAGCAGCAGGCAGGAAGCAGAGATCTCCGCTGCAAACAAGCACACCCCCAGACACGTCCAGACACAAGGCTGCAGGAAAGAGTCTGTTCCCAGGTCCTCTTTGCTACCCTGGTCACTCTTCTAGCATCTAGGATCCCCACTGTCCCTTCAGTCCCCTCTGCCTGCTTCTGCCCATCCCATCTACCTCCTGTTCTCAGTCCCTGAGGTACAGCACTTCACAGTACAAACGTTATTAATGAGCATTACAAGAATTTATGCAAATTTGTAAGCAAGTTTCCTAGCTCAATATTTTCCTCTCCCAGGATCACACGAGGTCTATTTTGCCAGAGGGCTTTGCCCAGGGAGGTGTTGAGAGCGGGCAGATGAACCCGTGATAAGAGCCCAGTGCTTTTCAGGCACCATTCTAAGTACTTTACACACATTACTTCATTTAATCCCCTTTTAAAATCTCCACTAGAAAGTGAGATTGTCAACTTACTTTTACACATAAAACAACTGAGGCTGTAAAGAGATGAAGTTTTTCGGGTCACAAAGCAGGCAGCAGCTGGAGGACAGGCACACGGGAACACGCCCTCGGCCTCCCTCAGCCTCTACAAAGGACTGCTGTGAAGTAGGCAGAGAGAGCCCTGCGACTTTACAGCCCAGCGGCTGGTCCCCTCCTACCTGCCTCTTCCGACATTTCCATTTGTCAGCACATTCTGACAAACCAAAAGGGAAGGCTCTTTTGTAGTTACACACGTCGTTACAGGCCTCGGGGAGTGCTCAGGTGAGATGAGATGAAGAATTAGAACAAGGGCTGGAGAGATGGCTCAGAGGTTAGGAGCACAGGCTGCTCTTCCAGAGGTCCTGAGTTCAATTCCCAGCACCCACATAGTGGCTCACAACCATCTGTAATGAGATCTGGTGCCCTCTCTGGCCTGCAGGGATACATGCAGGACACTGTATACATAATAAATAAATAAATCTTAAAAAAAAAAAAAGAATCGGGGTGGGCTGGAGAGATGGCTCAGAGGTTAAGAGCACCAACTGCTCTTCCAGAGGTCCTGAGTTCAATTCCCAGCACCCACATGGTGGCTCACAACCATCTGTAATGAGATCTGGCGCCCTCTTCTGTATACATAATAAATAAATAAATCTTTAAAAAAAAAAAGGATCGGAACCAGGCTGTTGGTGGGAAGGCCAGAGCCATGAAGAGCGCTGGAGCAGGGGCGGTGACTTTAAAACGGAAAGAACATACACAGCATGTCCTCAACACAGATATTCACGTCCAGCATGGAGAGAGACTCAGCCGAGCTCGCTGCACGTTACCTGCACAGGGACCTCCTGAGCCACGCTAGGACCACCTCACACAGCTGAGGGAGAACATTCCTGAATTGTGATCTGTCATACAAAGCACGGGAGGGCTGGGAGGGTCTTACTGCTTTCCTCTTAATATGTGGAACCATGTCTAATGAGAGGCAAAGCAGTCCACCGAGGAACAATACAGAAGTCTGATCCCTTTCTCGAGTCTGCACAGTCTGTTAGCAGTCTTCTCCTACTCCAGGTCTCTCCAGATCTCTCCATTCCTCCTGAGCACACTGCTGTCTTCCAGCAGAAGCAGGCGAAAAGGAAACCGTTTCTACTGAGCACACGCATTTCTCACTGAGATCAAACAGATTACCCTTAGAAATGCATTAATGAAGAGAAGCCATGCCAAACACACGTGCGATCCATTCTTATTGGGCACAGACATGCACACGCTGACAGTCCCAGCAGATGTATTTACTTCATAACGTCGATTCCAAGGAGAGCGTCACATGCTTGTTTCAATGTCACTCTCGATGTCAAGTACAGCATGTGACACAAGTGTCTATCTGTGCTATCTCTTTCCTTAGAGCATCTGCTAATGTACAATATTTACGCATCACCTACAGCCCTAACTCCTGGCTCTGGTCACATACCAGTGGCATGTGTGTGGGATCTCACACACTGTCGACAGGATGCTCGGAAATGCATTCTAACTAATGAAATGGGGAACAAATCTTGGGAGCAACAATCCAAGCTTTGTTGTAGTTCACAGAAAGATGTGCGATTGTGGAGAAGCATTGAACACGCAATAGCAGACAGGGTTGCTATGGTAACAACTCTTCAACTGCAGTACATCTGCGCTATTACAACCAGGCGATGTCAACACTCATTTCCTCCTGACCATATTGAGGTCTCTGCAACAAGAAGTACTTACAGCTCACAGGATTTTCAATTTTACCAAGATTCTTCTGCCGCCTTTTCTAGAAATGATAATTGAGACACATAAAAGGATTAATTCTCCTGTGCAGGCAGTCCTCAAATGTCAAAAGAAACATTACAAGCACACTGTCAGTCCGAACATGTTAAGCACTGCTCTCTGTGTGTGCGTGAATGACAACATGGCCTCCCCAAGGACTAAGGAGAGAAATATGTTTATACCAGAGAGCAGAGCATGGTGGTACAAGAACATAATCCCAGCCCATGAGAGACTGGGGCAGGAATATTGTTACACATTTGAGGTGACACCGGTCTACAAGGCAAGACCTCATCTCCAAAACAAAAAAGTAGCTTATAAAAATGTACATTTGGTTTTAGACACAAATGTGCTTGTAAGAAATACCTGCTACCCTTAAGCAACAGCTCTACATTTTATCTTTAAACTTAAATTTTACTACTAATTCCAAAATGTGCCCTAGAGTGCCTCCAGCTTCACTTACATCACTATTAATTAATAATAATAATTTTAAAAAAAGCCAGGCGGCAGTGGTGTACACCTTTAATCAGGAGGGACAGGCAGGAGGATCTCTGTGAGTTTGAGTCCAGCCTGGCCTATGGAGCAAGATCCAGGACAGCCAGGGCTACACAGAGAAAACCAACCAACAACAAACCAAACCAAAGAAACGGCCATGCACTATTATTAGCGTCTACTGTGTAACAGGCCAGGCCGTCCTCCACCAGCTACCTGCAGAAGGTGCCCAGCCCTCAGGAACAGCGATTCCCACTGTGGACCAAAGGAGGACACCAGCCATGGACGAGATGCTTTCAAGTCAAGCAAATAGGAGTCTAACCCAATTGAGGGATGGACACAAAACGTACACGTTTTGTGAATGACTCTCCTAAACGGCCACCTCAGAGTGCACGGCCTTCGGTACACCTAGAGCATCAAATGCAAGCTTCTCTCAGGACTAACTGAAATAAAATGTGCATGTACAGACACAGATTCTTCTTATCGTTTTTTTCTTTTTTTGGTTTTTCAAGACAGGGTTTCTCTGTGTATCTCTGCCTGTCCTGGAACTCACTCTAGACCAGTTGGCCTCAAACTCACAGAGACCCACCTGCCTCTGCCCCCAGAGTGCTGGGATTACAGATGTGCACCACCACCATCCTGCTTTTTTTTTCTAATTTTCATGAAAACAACCCCCCCCCCCATTTTATTTTTACAGAAATGTTATCTAGGGGCGGGAGAGATGGCTCAGCAGTGATGAACACATAGTGCTCTGAGTTTGGTTCTCAGCACCCACTCGGTGGGCACCAGGCACACACACGGTGCACAGACACACATGCAGACAAAACACTCCTACATATCAACGCAATAAACAACAACAAAAATGTGCGTATGTATATTACATCTATGCCTGGTACCCATGGAGGCCAGAAGGGGGCGTCAGACCCCTTGGACCTGGAGAAGTAGATGGTTGTGAGTCATCATATGGGTACTGGGAACCCAACCTGGGTCCACGGCAAGAGCAGCAAATGCTTTTAACTGCTGTGCCATCTCTCCAGCACGGGACTCAGACATTTACAAGGACTCGCTGCAGGGGATGGCAGCTTGCTAAGTCAAGCACTGTTCACCACGGGTCTTCACTCTCACTGCTGCAGTGATTCATCAGATCAACACTACATGATGTCACTAACACAGGAGAGGCCCCACGACGGAACGTGTTTGCATATGTTAAACTAGACTTTTGGTTCTTTGTTTGTTTTTGTCTTTTCAGGACAGGGTTTCTCCGTATAACAGCCCTGGCTTTCTTAGAACTCTCTTTGTAGACCAGGCTGGCCTCCAACTCAGAGATCTGCCTGCTTCTGCCTCCCCAGTGCTGGGATTAAAGGTGTGCATCACCATGCTGAGCTTGGACTTCTATTTTTCATAAATAAACCAATTTACCTATTGGGACTCTGCGAGATCCACGTTTGGCTGGGTGGAAGGCAAGCAGCTCTGTGATAATGGCCCACAGCTCCGACGGGTCCTGCTTATTAAGTCCTGGCTGTCCTCAGCTGCCAAGCAGTGCACCGGCTCCCAGGCTCCGCATGTCTTCAGCTCTTCATCCAGCCTCTCGTTTAAAAACTGAGTATCGGAGGAAATCCGCAAAGAGCAATGAGCAGCAGGCTGGCCACTTAGTTCGTCCGAGGGAATAAACCCTCCGTCGGCTAGTGTCCTAGCCAGGCTTTCCTGAGACTCGAATGTCAAAAGTGCTCTTCTGTCGTTAAAAGATAGCACGCAAAAGCTAGACAGATAATGTAGCAAGAGAGAAGGAACAGGGTTTTTGTAAACATACACAGCACACCCTACTCTGTTAAATGACAGACGGTAGGAGCGAGACTGCTGGACAATACTTGGAGGAGAGTCAAGGTAAAACCGTGGCAGATGACAGTCAAAGACCATCATTTTTGGCTTTGTCTCGTCTTTATTGATTATTTTGGAAATATCTTCCCCTGATAAAAAAGTGTTCAGCCCATGATTTTCTGTTAAGAGGTCACATTTCTCCTTTGTTTCTGGGTTGATAGGAGTCTGTCCCAGTAACTTAAAGTTTGGTAACAAATTGCAAATCCTCCTCTGCACCCCTTGTATACCCTTTGTTGGTTCTAAGGGGTGCTCTGGGGAGTTGGGATGGGGGTCACGGGTGCCGGAGATATCTGTTTCTGGGTTTCTGGGTAAATCCACCATTTCAGCTTTAGGGGACAAATCTCCTGGTTGCTTCTTCATTGGCGTTTCTGGGCCGCTTCCCGAGCCTGTTGCTCCTTCAGGAGTGGAAATCAACTTAATGCACTGTTCCTCACTGTCAGGACGGGTCAGTCTCCGAGATCTGTCTTTCTTGGGTCTCTGTTCACACACAAACTTATGGGGTCCCTGGGGCCAACCACCAAAATATGGCTGACTCTCAGACTTTCTCTCTAATTCTTCATCAAACAAACAAACTGTAAAAAAAGCCCAGTGATCGCTTCTAACTCCATGCTCCTCGCGTAACATTTCCTCCGACATTCGGGTTCCACTCTGACGATGTGGAGCAAACTCATCAGGGCAACTCTGACCTGCCGTTTCTGTCTTCGGCATAAATGGACGTGGAGTTTTAGCAACTGTGTCCTGCGTGTCTACGGCTGAGTTACGTCTATTTCTCACCTGGCTTTCCGCCCTCACGTCCGCGCGGCCATCCTTCACTACACAAGGACGATGCTGAGTGCTTGTGTGACGACAGGCAGAACCTTCACTTGGTGCCGATGGTAAAGTTAGAAACAGGCCCTCCCCCTCCTCCTCCCCCTCCTCTTCCTCCTCGGGGAAGCAGTTCTTAGGTGTGTGGTCCAACTCAACTGCAGACACAACATTTTGGAAACTGTTAGAGTTCTCCCTGTCTCTCCAGCTCTGCTCTTCAGAGCCATCTACACAATCCGCTGCTGCTTCATTCTGCAGGCCGCCAGCAAAGCGATGTCCCGGGTCCCTCTTGGTCTCCTGGAAACCTTCCCCCTCACTCTGAGACGGGCCCTGACCTCCTGGTGCAAGGTGACCTAAGGCTGCAGGGGAGTTCCCACTGAAACTGCTGTTCCTTTTCTTTCCTTTTCTGTTTCTCTTCTGTTTGGGTTTGTCAAACCTGTACCCACTTTTCTTCAAAACTCTCCCTCTGAAATATAAAGAACAAGCAAAATGCATGACTTAGTTTATGTAATATTAGCACACTCGAAAATATCACTGTGCAAAACTCATTAGTATAAGAGTGCCTGTGTACTTTTTACTGTATTTACATCCACTTTCTTTTTCTTGTTCACATGTGACTGGGTTTATTGTAGAGAAAGGTAACAGAAATTGTTGTTGGATAAAGAAGACTTGGACATAAAATGAATGGGGGCCTTCTATCCACAGGCCTTAGCAACCCAGCCATGGATCTGTCCTGTTGTTTTGTATCTAAAGTTAATCTTCCCAGGCATTCCCATGTTGTAGAACCCTGGGCATGTTTCATAGCTCTCCCGCTGGTGGGGGAGGCAAGGCTTCTTACAGGAGCATCATCATTGCTTCAAGATGTCAGCCTGCCCACCGGTGGTGAGGATTCTGTTCAGGATCCTGTATGCACTGTCTGTGTTCCCCTCCTGAACCATCACAGTCCTGACAATGAACTTCAGAAGTTTAGCCGTGGCCTTGTCTTCAAATCTTCATTCTCAGGATCTATAGATTTCAGCCTCAGCACGCCTTACAATCACTTTTAATGAGATCTTAAATCCACTCCTCTAAATATTAGTACACACTGAGGAAGTTAAAACCCACATGCACACACACATCTCGTAAGCCAACAATTTTATGAAAACCTAGTATTTATACTGAAGAAAATGTTCCATGTGTACAGAAAAATGTTGTATTTTGTGATACTTTACATCTTAAAGGAATTGATGCATTTATTATAATCCTGTTTAGAACCTCAACAACAGTTTTCTTAGAATGAAACACATTTAATAATACTTTAGATTTGAAAGATAAGAAATGGCTAGAGTAGGGTGGCGGTGGCGCACGCCTTTAATCCCAGCACTTGGGAGGAAGAGCCAGGTGGATCTCTGTGAGTTCGAGGCCAGCCTGGTCTACAGAGTGAGTTCCAGGACAGGCTCCAAAACTACACAAAGAAATCTTGCCAAAAAAAAAAAAAAAAAAAAATTGCTGGAATAGCCTCAGTATGGCAGATTTTGTAGTGGTTTTAATGACTGGGTTATTTAGATAATGGGGTTGACAATTAAGTTGTCCCATCACATTATATGTAGTACTTACTAATGAACACTCTGAGTCCAGGATTTGGTGACGTATTTGGACTTGTCTGGCAAGCGGCGACCCTAGCCAGAGGCGATGCCACTACTATGTGAGGCGCTGGAAATGTGTGAAGGCATTTTTGGTGGTCACAGTGACTGGCAGTGTGTTATGACATATGGTATTGAAGCCAGTATGCTAACCATTCTATGATGCACAGTGACAAGATATCACTCCCAAGAGAGAAACAGGACTCTCACCCCTCACAGCAGAAGTGAAGAGGTTAGACAGGACTTCTGGGCAGATAGAGAGAAGGGACAGATCTAGATGCAGGAGATATGCCAGAGGACACAGGAAAGAACACAGGAGGTGAAAGATGGAAGAGAGGTAAAAAGCCACCAGGCAAAGCACAGATTAATAGAAATGGGTTAAGTTATAAGAGCTAGTGGGACAAGCCTAAGCTATATGCCGAGCTTTCATTATTAATAATAAGTCTTCAGCCGGGCGGTGGTGGCGCACGCCTTTAATCCCAGCACTCGGGAGGCAGAGCCAGGCGGATCTCTGTGAGTTCGAGGCCAGCCTGGGCTACCAAGTGAGTTCCAGGAGAGGCGCAAAGCTACACAGAGAAACCCTGTCTCGAAAAACCAAAAAAAAAAAAAAAAAAAAAAAAAAAAGTCTTCATGTCTTTTTTTTGTGAGCTGGTGGCCCAAAGAAAAATCTGTTTACACATAGCTCTGCTGTAAGTGAAGACAATACTTGATACTGCTGGGCATGTCCAACCTATGGCCCATGAGCTGCAGGCATCCCAGAATAGTTATGAATGGAGACCAACACAAAACTGCAAACTTACTCAAACCACTGTGAGATTTTTGAGTGTGTGATTCTATTTTCTGTAACTCAACTGCACAGTTCTCAGCGGTAAACTTTACAGATGACATCATGTCTCATGTCCAAAGGGTGACACTCCCGAAAGTTGATGCTAAGGACAGTATTTGGTCCTTTTTGATGGTTTAGTGAACTTTCTAAGTTTTCCCATAAAGGCTAGTTTTCCCCCTCCCACAGTGAATGGTTAGAGTCAGAGACAAGGCACCAATGAGAGCACAGAAAACCCACTAGAAGGAGAACAACAGAAATGGGTGATGGGACTGAAGAGATGGCTCACTGGTTAAGAGCACTGCTCTCAGAGGATCCAGGTTTGGTTCCCAGCACCCACATGGTGGCTCACAACCGGCTGTAACTCGTTTCAGGGGATCAAATGCCCTCTTCTGGCCTCTGAAGGCAGCAGGCATACATGTAATACATATATTGGATGCAGGTAACACGCATACATGAAATAATTAATTAAAGCCAGGCGGTGGTAGCGCATTCCTTTAATCTCAGCACTCAGGAGGCACAGGCAGGCAGATCTCTGTGAGTTCGGGGCCAGCTTGGTCTACAGGGCGAGTTCCAGGACAGGCACCAAAACTACAGAGAAAAACACTGTCTCAAAAATACCAAAACCAAACAAACAAAAAAAAGAAATATCATGACCATGGTAACTTTTTTTTTTCAAGACATGGTTTCTCTGTGTAATAGCTCTGGCTGTCCTGGAACTTGCTTTGTAGACTAGGCTGGCCCCAAACTCACTGAAATCCACTGAAAGCCTCCCAAGTGCTGAGATTAAAGGTGTGTGTCACCATGCCCGGCTACAGCAACTCTTATAAAGGGAGACATTTAATTGAGGAGACTTACAGTTCAGAGGTTTGCATGGTGGTGTGCAGGCAGACATGGTGCTGGAAAAGTAGGTGAGTATCCTACATCTTTGGCTTGCAGGCAATAGGAAGTGGTCTCTGTGTCATACTGAGGGAAGCTTGAGTAAAAGAGACCTCAAAGCCCGTCTCCACAGTGACACACTTCCTCCAACAAGGCAACATCTGTTCCAACAAAGCCACACCTCCTAATAGTGCTACTGCCTATGAGCTTATGGGAGCCAATTACATTCAAACTACCACAGCCTCCATAAGATCTGGCTGTAGGCAAGCATTCAGGGCATTTTCTTAATTAGTGGTTGATGGTAGAGAGCCCAGCCCATTGTGGGTAGTGCCATCCATGGGCTGGTGGCCCTGGGTTCTATAAGAAAACAAGATAAACAAGCCATGAAGAGTGTGCCAGTAAGCAGCACCCCTCCATGGCCTCTGCATCAGCTCCTGTCTCCAGGTTCCTGCCCTGACTTCCTTCGAGGATGAACAGGATGTGGAAGGGAACCAAATACACCCTTTCCTCCCCAAGTTGCTTTGCCCATGGTATTTTATCACAGCAACAGTAACCCTAACTAGGACAATTATTTTTAAAGAAAATAAATGGTAAATGGTAACAGTCAGGTGTGGATGTAGTTGGTGGTGGAACACATGCCTATATTCACAGGGTCCTGCGTAGGCTTTATTCTGAATAAACTGAGGACATGATCGATGATACTAACCCACCATGCCTGTGGAGAAACACCCACAGGGCTCAGGAAAGAAGGCGGTTGCTCAAAAACAACAGGCAAACAAAACCCAGCTCTAAATCTGGAACATCGGGCAACTTACTGAAGCGTTTTACTATGGTGTTATCAAAGGGGTCTGTAAGGATTGGAATCTGGATGAACACAGAATATGGTGCAAGGTACGTGAAAATCGAAGTGTGGCAGAGATGTGTACCAATTCTTTGTCGATGACACTTTTGAGACAGTGACAGTGCGTGCTCAGTAGCCCAGGCTAGCCTTAAATTCTCAGCAATAATCCTTGCCTCAGCGTCCCAGGTGCTGGGTTTAGAGGTGTGAGCTACCACACCCTGAATCCACTGATGCTCTTTGGAGTTCCTGTCCTTTTTCTAGTGAGCCAGGCCTTCTGGAAACACCCCTAAACCAGCAACCTTGTAAGGGTTCTGTGACGTAAGAGCTGTGGTGGCGGTGGTGGTCACTTCCATTGGAATGCATTCACCCTGATGTAGCTGATCAGTAGATGCATTTTCATCAGGAACATAGATCTATACAGTGTAAGAGGCTCATCAGAGCTGTATCAAGGCTTGTAAAACCTGATCTCATTTGTGCTGATTCACTTGAGGATGAATGGTCCTGTTAGGAAAGAAAAGCCTCACTAAGTAAGAGTGAGTCATAAGCAGGAAGTCGGGAGAGCTAAAGGCACGGACTGAAGCCTTGAAAGGAAGGAAGAAACAAGAAATAAGCAAGGGAAACACATCTGTGGTGAGTAAGACTAGATGATGGCTCAGAAGCCAAGCCTGTGGGCAGGAGCACAATGTACTTCTCAAGAACTAGGAGGGATGTTTCTCAGAGGCGAGCTAACCTGATCAAGGGAACTTGACCAGGACACTAAGGGGAGAGCATCCAGATGGTGAAGCCCAAACTGACTATGGAGAAAAGCAGGGGAAGGGAGAACAAATGCAAAGGCATGGTAAGTCATGATTCCACGAGAAAGAGTAACGAGGGGAGAGGGCAGACACGCCGTCTCCTCCTGCAGAACGCGATGCGCCAGCATCTCCAGTGTGCGCCCTTTCCAACCGGAGATCAAAGAGCGTGCAGATTAGAAAAGCTCCAGTTCCTGTGAGTTTCTTCCTGCTGCGAGCATCAGCCCTGTGGGCTCTGGCTCCTGGCCTCCCCTCCTGCCATGGCCCCAAAAGGGCAATCTGCGCTCCCGCCTCAGCCCAAGAAACCCAAATGGGCTTCTGTCGGAAGCTGGAGGACAAGTCAGCCTCTCCCGGCCTGCGAAGGGAGGAGAAGAACAGAAGAAGAAGTGAACACAGGGGCGAAGTACAACATGAAATACTTAATCACGAGCCAGCGAGGACATTCTGAAAGCAGAACAAAAATGAAACAAACTCCGCCAACCATTTTTTTCAGAGGAGGTCAGAATTGAC